TCCGAATCAAGATTTCTCAGTATGCTGGTCGATTACCTGTCTGTGCCCCATTTCACAATGGTACCCATGAAAGTAGGAGCTTTCAGGTGTTGTGTGGCTGTCAAATGACTCAGAAAGTAGGTTTACAGAAGGTTAGCGGAGGTAAATAAAAAAAAAACAATTGGCGAAAGTTCAGGCACTCCTGGCTAAATTAAGTGAAAAAAGTTAACACAACCACAATAGCAAATTATTTGAAAATAATATTTTTTCTGCAAATGTTGATACGCAGTTCATTTTACATTAATTACCTTAAAAGAAAAAATATATATATAAAACTAATTGTGGCATGTGGAAAACTTTGGACATCATATTAAGTCAACACTTAGTGACACCACCTTTGGGAGATATCACAGATTGCTATTGCTTTCTGCAGCTAGCTATTCCATCTAGTCTTTCTATGCTTGTTTTGTGAATTTTCACCTACTCCTCTTTGCAGAACACTTCTAGTTCTGTAATATTCTTGACCCCGCCTTGCACGCACACCATGTTTAAAATCTACCCACAGATTCTTAAAGATGCTCAAGTTAGGAGACTGCTAGCGTCACCCCAAAAGCTTCAATTTGTGTTTCTTCAAGTAATTCATAGTGAATCTTGAGGTATGTGTTGGATCACTGCATTTAAGCTTTTCTTGACTAACTGAGTCACATTTGCTTCCAGAGTTTGGAAATATTTAGTGGAACCCTTACTTTCATCTACCATACGGTGTTTCCTGTGCTACTGTGCCACCACATAAGCCCAAAGCAAAACAGATCCACCCTCATGTTTGACATTTGCAAGGTGTTCTTCTCATCAAATGCTGGTTCTTTTTTATCCAAGCATACCTTTGGTGCCTTTGTGTCCAAAGAGTTCCACTGTTATTTCATCAGCCAGTAGGACTTATTTCCAAAGGGTTCTCGCATATCCAGACGTTGTTTTGCTTCAGTTGCAGGTATGTTTTCTTTCTGATGCCTCTTCCATGTAGATTATGTTTGGGCGAGTAACGCTGTACAGTAGATGGGTGCACCAACACCCCAGTCTTAGCTAAACCTTCTTGCAGGACTATTGCTGTCACATCTGCTTTGCCTTTCTGACCATCATATGAGCAGTTATACCTAACAGTTTTACTGGTCAGATCTTACCTTGTGTAGCACAAGTTCCTCAATTTCTTAATGACATTTCAGACAGTAGAAACTGAGAGCTGGAATTGCCTTGATATCTTTTTATAGCCTTCCCCTACTTAGAAAACATCAACTAGCTTCATTTTCAGTGTCTCAGCCAGGTGCTTAGAGAAGCCCATGATTATTGAGCGTACAAAAAGACTTCAAGAGTCAGAACATATTACTCTCTGTCATCAGCTGACAATATCTAATGACAATTCTTGACCTGCTTAACTAATCCTAATGAGTCAGTTAAGCTCTTACGAGTTAACTTATGTCTGAGACTTTACACTAGAAGGGCATCCAAACTTTTGAACATGCTACAATTTTTTCAGAAAGCAATTAAGTCTCGCTTGTATTTTTAGATATAGAGATTATCTGACTCAAGTGACGAGGCACGCCGATGCTCTGATGATTGCTTTCGGTCTGCACTATTTCCACCACCCATACGTCCTGGTTTGGTATGCTAGGTACCCTGGCAATAAGAGTAACCGAATTCAGCATGGGTCCTCAGGAACACCACGGGTCACTTATGGAAATGGAAATGACAAGAAAATGCGCACTGCACTGTCTGGTAGAAAAGTGCCTTTTAAGTGAGAAAGGAAGTGAAGAGAAAGGAACAGAAAAAGCAAAAGAGATTAAAAGGAAGCCCATGAAGGACAGAGAATAAAAGAGAGATGAAAGGTGAACACGCAGAAGACTCAGACAGGTAAGAGTGTGTAAGCGAGAGCCAAAGGGAAGAAAGAGAAAATGAGAGGTGACGAAGCTCATTTTAGACACATATCTGCAACGTTCTCAGTGAAAACCACCTTCGCCTTTCGCCACAGTCCTCACCTCCTTTCTTTCTCTTTACCGCAATACAAACACGTTCAGCTTTCTTTGTCTTCTAGATTCTGAGCCTCTGAATCACTATTCATTCAAAACACCCTCAGCACAGTTCACACCTGAGGAGGTCCAAAACACACACGCACAGCCTGCGCAGACACTCATCTGCGATCTATTTACAAAAATCCTCAAAAGACACGTCTGAATAATTAGTCACATAGCTGTAGCTCATCCTCTGCTGCTGTACTGTGACAGTTAAAAGAGGATTAAAGGTTTTGTCAACCGTGGATATGAATGGTGTTACAATACACTGCAGTACTAAACAAAACAAAGCACTTGTATGGGTTACAGTGAACAGTAACATGCGATGTCTTCTAACAGGCAGTGGCACAGGGAGAGCACACATCTTCCTCCTCTGTTTAATATATAGTACATCATGTTACAGAGATATTGACAAACATATCCAGATATAGAACTGAATTGGGTGGTCCTGGTGAACGTAAAACCTATGAAATAGCAGTAAAACCCCTGTCTGCTTATTAACTCCAGCACATATTCATCAGATATATCCTCCGACTAGCACAGCAGGTGGCACAAAATGTACGGCTCAGTGAGGAAACGCTGGCTGTGTACTGGCAAAGAATTCATCAGAAAATATCTGTTTGGTCACTTATGAGATGTTATTTACAACCCAGCACTCAAAAAAGAAATCTGCTTTGTATTTGAGGAATCTCTCAGTCCAAAAAAGGATGGGTTGATGGTCGCCATGAGGTTACAAAGCCTTTAGCGTATAGATTGCCTTTACAGAGCGTTAGCTGTGTCACATGGGCGGCAATTTGCTATCCAGCTGCAGACCCTTTCTAAAATAAACCTCCTACTAATCTGATCAACTGGAACCAGGTATAACAGCAACGTCAAACATGTCAGTATACAAAGCATTATGTGGATGGCCGGCACACTTGCTGTAACCTAAGTGTGAAAAAACGACTTCTATAATAAACGCATTATTATCTGACAAGTCATTGTCACAAGGGTGTTCAAGCATTTCAAGCTTTTCTCATCGGCGGCATGACATACTCAGAAGACCAAACGTTTTAGTTTAAAGTTTAAAGTAGTACTATGAATTGAAGCAGCATGGCAAAGAGCGATGAAGTGTCATGAGTGATGCTCAAAATTCTTGCCAAAATTTGTATGGACAGGCGTGTAGTATTGTACCCCTCTCAGCTACAGTACAGAATAAAAGAAACGAGTGATGAGCGGCCATTCGTCGTGTTACCTTCTCTACGTTCTCCACGGTGAAGTCCGCCGTGTCCGCCGTGCTGACTGCTATCCTGCCCGGCGTGTCCATGCTCTCTGTCTGTCTGTCAGCGCCCGGGCAGATGGGGGCGAAGAGGAGAGACGTTCAAGATGTCTCTACTGCTGCCTACCAGCCCTTCCCAGTCGACCACACTCGAATAATTCTAGTAATAAACACCGTTCCTGCTCTGTTTTCTTATTTTCCTTTCGCTTAAGGAAATCAAAATAACTACAGCTGCCAGCGAGGCGCGAGGGTAGCTAGCAACACCGGAGCCTCGACGCTAGCGCTGCTTAGCTAGCTAAAAAAACAACCATGACTGAGCTCTTCTGCTCCGCCGGACCGCGTCTCTGTGTGACACCGGCATTAGCTTTCCACATTATACGACATTCGTGCTGCCAGCGAAAGTAGTTAAATGTGTGTCCGTTTGTTGTGTCCTAACCGGTGAGCTGTTCCTGACTTGTCTAGCTAAGAGCCACCCGCTCTCTCTCTATCTCTCCCCCGCGCGCTCGCTCTCTCTCTCTCTCTTCCGCGCGCGCTCTCTCTCTCTCTCTTCCGCGCGCTCTCTCTCTCTCTCTCTCTCTCTCTCTCTCTCTCTCTCTCTCTCTCTCTCTCTCTCTCTCTCTCCGCTCATACAGGACTAGGCGTATAGTCGCCCACGCCTGGTTCTTTTTTATTTTTCTTTCTCAGAGTTGTTTGATATTATGGAATATTTTACATGTTATTACATTTCAATGTGTGATATAGATTTACAAACCGGCATAATTGGATTTATAGACAGGCGCCGTTGCACGTTTTTGAAAGGGTCCATCGTATTGCACTCTGGGAAGCGTAGTTTTTTTGTGCAGCACGGCAAACTCTGACATACAGCGTGATGGCGCCCCCGTGTGTCACTGTTGAGAAAGTGTAAATCTCTGTGTGGTGCTTTTTTGAAGGTCCCTGGCTGCTGATTTCTTTGTAATAAAATCCAATTTAATTTGATTTATAGATTTTTGTCACTGTGTTTAACTGATATTGCCAGTTTGCGGTTGTGTGATGCCTTAATGTACTTAAATGTGTGGTTTGGGACGCGGCCTTAAGTTAAGAGCTCTGGCAGCCACTTTTCTCAGTTTTTATAAAATACACTGGAATTTTCTGACTCATTCTGGTCTATTTTGCTTGTTTTTATCCACCTGCAGGGCTGTAGCCGCAGTAACGGTGATGAGACGAGCTCTATCAGAGCTCAGTTAGAGTTGCAGCTTGCCTACCGCACAGCCTTGGCTCTGGCCTACCAATATAGCGACGAGGTCTTCTTCATGACGTAATCGAATATTATAAATAAAATTTATAATATTTAATATGAAAACAAACAACTTCTGTATGGTGTGTCGAGGTTTTTTAGACAACATTGCAGCCTCTGTTTGGGCATATATATATATTTTTTGAGGAGAAGTATTTGGTACAAGCCTTTTCAGTGCTTTTTTTTTTACTTTCCCTGCACATTCCCTTTTTATTTACTGTACTTTCTTGTTCAAATAATAAAATAATAAAAATAATTTAACAAATGTGTTCATTTGAGCCACTGAGGAAATCCAGCGAAACTGTTTACAGTAACCCGTTTACTTTTTAGTTTGTATTTCTGCCGCTGGTGTGTGAGCGGGTTTGAGGGCGTGTCCTGCTCCATCTGTCCGCTCTCAGCGCGGCGTCACGGAGCTGCAGTGCTTTATTGGACCGGGCTGTGCTGGAGCTGCTGGCTGCTCTGCGCTGTTGGCGCTCCGCTCTCGGCCCGAGTGAGTGAACAGAGGCCGTTATGAGAATCCGAGCCCGCTGCTGAGACCCTCTGCGATGGAGACAGTTATCTTTTTGTTGTGAACAGCTGAGCGCCGTAGGAGTGAGTGAAGGGTGAAACACGTGGCATATGAGCTCAGGCAGTGATAGAGCGAGAGAGAGTGGGAGAGAGAGAGAGAGAGAGAGAGAGAAGAGAGTTGAACTGCGGGTTCAGTCAGAGGAGCCGAGCGCGCTGAGGAGCAGCTCAGTCAAGTCAACGAAAACAGCACTGAAGTTAACTCGGCTAGCAGCTTAACTAGAAACCTACAGATAAGCGACGGCGTTCTCGGTTCAGGTTAGGTAGTCTTAAGTTATCTTAGTTAGGCTACTGTTTCTTATTCCACCGCAAACCATGAGGGGAACCGTTACCCTGAGCGTCCTGCTCGTCTTGTGCTACAGTTCCTTCACAAGAGGTAAGAGCTCTACACGCCTGTGTCACCTGTGTGTCGTCTGAGGGATGTGTTCTCATTAGGCGGGTTAGAGTGACCTGAAGGTCCTGTGGGATAAACACAACGATTATTGTGTTTTGGACTTAAGAAGGAGGAATTCTGCCGATTTTCTAAAAGTTATGCATAATGAAATAATTGAGAAGTAAACTAAGTCGTTCAGTGTGGTCTGGTTTGAATTGCTCTTTTATAAACCTACCGAGTCATAATGAATAATTGTTCGCAGTGGTGGAGATGGGAACCAGACGTCCGAAGACAATGTCTCTGAAAGATAGCTCACAGAAAGTTATCACATGAAATGGTTAGACTGCTTGATGTCCCAAGGTTATTACTGACAATGTATTTTTGACAAAAAGATTCATGTCGGAGTGGTACATGAAAGGCACTGTAAGGCAAAATAGAAAAAACTAAATTTTACTATTTTTACTATATTTACTATTTTATCATCATCAACAGTACATATGAAACTAAGAAGACGTGTAGATTCGCTGGTGGTTTTTGGTAGTAAATAAATGGCTATATTTGTATTACAGACATTGTGACCCCGGGTTCCATAGACATATATATGATAAATCACCACCACTGTAAGGAAATCTGAGTCTAAGGTTTTCTACAGTGAATCATTTCACATCAAACCACTGTGAATGACTTTGTTACCTCAAATATTAAATAATGCAGAATTTTGAAAAATCAGTGGAGCTCCCCTTTAACTGTGTAGACCTTTAGGAGCAAATGTTGTGTATTTATTTAATCTGAAGTTATGGTGGTTATATCTAGACTGTCATCTTAAAACATGCTCTCCTTCTCTGCGTGAAATTACATTTTAAATATGTATCTAGATTTCATCCTTTTTTTTCTTTCTTTCTTTCTTTCTTTCGTGTTTGTTATTTATTTCTCTGTAATTTCTCTTTCTGTTTCTGTTTTCATTTACTCTCTCTGTCCCTCCCTAACTCTCGCTTTCTCTCTCTTTCTTTTCTTCTTTGTTTTCTCACTCTCTCATATTTTTTATATAGCAGAGCCAATCAGATTTTCTGGGATAGGCTTAGCACAGAACTACACGTACATGACCGTGGGGTGATGTTACGATAAAGATCCCATCTGATGGGGTTTCTTTTCACCCCTCATTCACTTTCTCTGTCTTAGCTCATTGTGCTCTCCCTCGGTCTTTTTAATTAACAGTATTTCCATAGGAAAGGAAACCAGATGACAGGGCTATGCAGTTACATTTTGATGTATTCAGAGAGAGCACTGGCGAGCTCACTGCCTTAATTACAGCCTAACGCTGCCACCGCAAACATTCAGCTCTGTAGAGTTGCCCACAGGACTGTAGGCCCGAAAAAGACACTACGAATGATAACCGCCAGCAGTGGTGCCTTTTGAAAAACCTGACTCATGACCGGATCACCTTGCAGTTCATGCAGCACAAGGTTTAAGCGTCTGCTTGTAGGTGTACTTTGCATGTCATCCATGGTCAGCTTGAATTATGCTGCCACAGAACTCCATGATTTGCTGCAGCTGCATTCTAAATCACAGTTGGGTTTCAGTTTGCTAAACTCTTCTTGGAAGTTGGTAGTGGCTTTAACACTCACTGCAAATGCATCTATGTTTTCGTCAGTGTCCAAAGACTGGCAGTCTGTCGATCCTGATATAAGCTGAACTCGTGGACTGAACAACCAAGAGACCATCTGTCTTCATCATAATTATTCTGTCCTAAGGGGCTCTTGGGCCATATTACGCCACTATTATGATGTGTCAGTCAACGTCCAGTAATGACAAATGACTGCGGGCTTGGCATTCAGGTCATGTGACACGTTAATGAGGCGTTTAGGGTATCTGCACCCACTCAGTGCCCATAACAGGAGAGAAAAGTAAAAAAATTAATCATGTGATAGTCTTTTATTTTTTACTGGAGACAGAGGGCTATTAGTGTTTATATATAGAAATGTGTGACACACACATTTCTCTCTCTTGCTCTCTCAATCTCTCTTTCCCCAGAGCATGAGTACAGAGGCAGAGAAAAATGGTAGCTCTCTTACATCACTTACACTGGGGACATTTGGGGTGTGTTCTTGTACAAAACCACAACACAGTCTCTCCTTTTCTCTCTCTATAGAATTTTTCACAACTTATTTGATAGTTATCTCTGTCACGCATCTCCACTTTTTCTCCTGCTTTGTGTTTAAATCGGGTTGATTTTTTCTTCATGTCCTGCAAAAGAGTGCCTCACTGACCTCCTTGAAGTTTCAGCAGTGCATACGTGGGAGAGCTGGACACACTGCTGAACAATCACAGTTTATTTATAGAGCCCAAACTCCCTTTGTCACACTCCATGTCCAAGCCGACTGCCCGCCGACGTCTTGTTCCGCTCAGCCCCGTCCTGTCTTCACTGCCGAGAACAGGCCCTTTCTAGTAGCCTCTTTGAACAAGTTTGCTTCCTATTTTTAAAGTGCATTAAAGGAATACTTTGACATAAAATGTAATTTACATAATTTTTCTTTTACCCCAAATGTAGTCGATCAGCTAAGGCAGGTTTTTTGTGTAAAGTTTGCATCCTTGGTTTTTCATTGGAGCTACAAGGCTAATGTAGCTAACAAGTAGTGGAATCATATTCTTACCAATTGACAGAATGCAAACTGCACTCTTGCCTCAAACTCTGTTGACTTAAAATTCCATCTATTTTTCAAAATTGCATAAATGCATTGTTGAAACATAAACAGAGTCATTGAGAGTGATTTGAGATGAAACGTACTGTGGAGAAACCAACTGACTCAGATGGTGGGGACTGAAACCAGGAGTCGCAGTGTGTACGACACAAATATAGCCATTTTATTTACCATACGAAACAACCAGCAAAACTACATCTTCTAAGTTTTCACATGTAATGTTGATAATAGTTAAATCGCAGTAAATCTGTAAAAAATCTGTACCTTTGTGTACCTCTGTGCCGTGAATATGCTTAAGAAAAATAAATCTTATGTTAAAACTATATCTGAAAACATATCAGGCAGCTCATTCATAACCATTTCATATAATGACCTTCTGTGAAGGAGCTTTTAGAGACAGTAAATGCATCAGACATCTGCTTCCCATCACCAACACTGGGAGCAATTCTGACTCGGCGGTTTTCTCTAGAATGGAGCATTTCACATGAAACCGCTCTGAATGATTTTGTTTACATATTAACCTTTTAATTATGCAGAAATTGTGAAACAATGGTGGAATTCCCACTTAAGTCATTTCAAATACAATCTCAAAAATAAGCCTATGTCACATAGCTAAAACAATAGTAACAGCCACTGTGGAGCCAACTTGTTCATACTGTTGTTCATTATTATCTAACCAAGTCTATTTAAGTTTACTTAACAGCTTAACACCGTTCGAGTGTAGTACGTGATCATGTAGGCATGCGATTTGTAAAATAATTGTTGAGGTAGCTACCTTAGCCTTTTAGCTCCAATGCAAAACCTAAGAAGTAAACTTTGGACATTAAACATGTATTGGTTGACTTTTGTAATACACACTGTGCTTTTTAGGGCTTGTTGACATGCCAGTATGTCATACACAGTACATTCAGAAACATTATAATAGCAGTAGGAGACAGTTCAGTGGTTGAAAAAGAAAAATGAATGTAAGAGCTTGTAAAACCGCTGGCGGCAAAAGCCCACCCTTATTGTGAAGATATGGGTGTGTGCAGTAGCAGAACAACCTGAAAAAACATGTTTTGAGTGTTATTTGAGCCAGACGCTACACAATATTAATGCAATTTTTATTTTCAAATGTTTTTGAAACATTTCAGAGTTAGGTTTATAGGCCTCTTCCCATTCAAAGACAGAGTTTGGTCTGAGTGGAAGTAACTGCTCAGGGGTGTTGCCAGGATGGCAGCTGAGTGGGCAGACTTTCCTATTAAGACTTTGGAATAGGACACAGAATATTTGGAAGTGAAACACATATGCTTGTTCCAATTATGATACCAGAAAATGAGCCAGTGTGTATGTCTTTAGTCTCAGTCCAAATTGGATTGGTTTATGCATGTGTGGCCAAAGACTAGGGTGCTTGACATATTCAGTTTAAGCTGACATTTCCTTCACTTGAGCCAGAGATGACCGTCTGAGCCGTGCAGAGACTTCATAATAGTCTGACACTAAACCTAATACTGACTGAACTCGGCGGGTGTACTGTCTACAACACTGGTACTTTCAATCTGTTTACTTCTTTTAGAACGGACTAATGTGGCATTCTTTCATTTTTTGACTGTATGTGAGACAGATTTACTGGAGCCAGTGCACATAGCTGAGCCAGCTTTGTGAGTATTACTGTGCAGAAATGATCAGTAATAGACGGCTGAGTGGAAAAGAGCCACAGGCACTAGGAGATTGCTGACAGTGTGCCTCTGCCATACTAAGCAGGTTCTTGTCTCTGTCATATGAAATAGTTTGTTAGAAACTATTCTCTGAGCTTCATTGGCTTTACAGGTATTGGTCCATTTGCCAAGAATCGGTCATGATCCTTTGTATGTACTTTGCATTTTGTAGCTGATCTGTTAGCCACTTGTTATATTGTGCTTGCATCCTTAGAGGATTTCAAACTTGGATTTGTTGGTCAGTGGTGATAATCTGTTTTTACTGTTACTACTGTATTCACAAAAAGCAGCCACATGCATTTATTAAAAAGATGCAAATGGGTCACATTTATGGGGAGGTATTGACCTCCTTCAGACTGAGAACCTATGGGCACGATGTTGGCTAATAATAGTCTGCAATTTTCTTAGTACTTAGTACTTCTTAGTACTTCTAGTTAAATGCAGTGTAATTCTTCCCATTATCTCATCTAGAACAGTACGTACGTGTGCATAATTATCATATGCACTTATTAAAATTGACATTTGACGTTCAAAACAGTATATCAAAATCTGAACCCGAGTCTTTTCTGAAAGTTTCTCATTTGCATCGTAAGCACTGTCAAGGATC